TTGTTGGACCCTTGGCGACTGTCCGCCGCCACTTTCCCCCACTTTTCCACACACGAATATAGAATGCGAGCGTAGTTGGCAAAATCCCCACTTTCCCGGCCCCAAGCCACACAATAAAGAACAATATATTTCACACAACTTTGTTCATATTTTTAATGTCAGGAGTATAATAATTACGTTCATTGACTTTGTTAAGTAGCCTACTTTATGCTAATGCGATTTCATTGTATAAAATGGCAATGGCTGAATGGTTAGGGTGGCAGGAGCTTTGCATAGAATATTTTAACATAATTGAATGTGCCGGCTCTTTAAGTGACAGTTGCTGGTGAAGTTTAAGTGCATATGCCTCATTATTTACTCAAAATGACCTTATTCGTTGGTGCGAAATTACACTTTTTGGCTTTTTGGAAACTAAATTGGTTAGTTTTTGTAATATTCGCCACGTTTTAATGCACTTTATACAATATTTATAAGTGATAATTAATGAGGCTTAATTAAAAAATATGATATTTACTGTTGCAATTATTTTAAATTTTTTCTTTTAATTCCTCAATAACCAAACTTTTTGATATGCCATTTGCAAAGCAGTCGGCTCAAACACAAACTCGTAACTGACATAAAAGCGACCCGCTTATCAGTACTTACCAGAGGATTGTAAAAGCCTCAATTAAATTAAAAAGAATTACGTAAACAGGTAAAGAAAATGGCAATGCACGTAATCTTTGTGTATAAATGCGTCATGCAGTGGGGAAAACAACAAACCGAAATATGTAGACTGTATCGATTTCGTTGGCTATTTCTGTATTTTTGTGCCCTGCATTGCTAATACGCCGTGTTGTACGGGCGTTATTTAATGCTCAAGCCATCGATTTGGCCCGGCGGCTGCAATGTCAATATCAAAGACACCACGCAACAAGGTTGCAGAAGCCGTAGTAATTTGCTACGGGAGGACTGCTGAATTTCTGCTGCACGGCTAATTGAATTTGCAGGGGCGGCAGGTGCCACAATGCCAGGTATAAATGTCGGATTGCCAATGAGCGCTAATTAATAGCCAAGCGGACCACGCAACGCGCCGTATCCCGACACACTCGAGCGCGAATCGTTTAACTCATTTGCATTACTTTCGCAGATCATTTCGAACAAACAGCCTCAAAATGGTGGTCAACTTCAAGGTGTTTAAGAAGTGTTCCCCGAACAACATGATCACGCTCTACATGAACAGGCGTGACTTTGTGGATTCCGTCACGCAAGTGGAGCCAATTGGTGGGTATCACAAAAAAGGGAAAATTATATAACTTAAATTACGACTTAAAAATCTCAAAGAACAAAACTTAAAAAATAAACACTACGTCAACGGAATATTTTTGTTTTGTTTAAAACTAGGGACAACTGAAAAAATCATTCAGTACGACTCTGATTATAAGTTTGCGCGTTTAGCAAATAAAGTGAACAAAGTGTATGCAAATCAGCCAAAATGGAAAACAAGTACGCAAAAAAAAACAACTACGCAAAGTGTATTAAATTTCCAACGAAAGCAAAATGTTGTAAATACAGATATTTTTCAATCACTTTACAAATAATTTATATTTTATTTAAAGCTTTCAACTTTTTTTGGTGTTTTAAAATTTTTTCACATAAATAGTTTCCCCTTAAAAAAACTCTCTGTAAATATCATAGTATTGAAACTGATGCCACTTTTAAAGTCAGACAGAAACCATAGAATACTTCAATCCTTGAAGAGAAAATTTTAACTTAACTTGCAATCGACAGCAGGCAGATATGAACTCCCCTAAGGCATAATTAAATTCAGATGTAATTTATGCAATCCAAGACGGCTGCATTAACAGCAAAGCAAGCATATTAGCTACGTGACCGGACCAAACTCACGTGGCTGGGCCATTGTTTCCCTAATCTCCGATTAATTAGCCTCCCTTTGCAGATGGCATCGTGGTGCTGGACGATGACTACGTGCGCCAGAACCGCAAGATCTTCGTGCAGTTGGTCTGCAATTTCCGCTATGGCCGCGAGGACGACGAAATGATCGGGCTGAGGTTCCAGAAGGAGCTGACCCTGGTCTCTCAGCAGGTGTGTCCGCCCCAGAAGCAGGACATCCAACTGACCAAGATGCAGGAGCGCCTGCTCAAGAAGCTGGGCTCCAATGCCTATCCCTTCGTGATGCAGATGCCGCCCAGCTCGCCGGCCTCGGTGGTCCTCCAGCAGAAGGCCAGTGACGAGAGCCAGCCCTGCGGAGTGCAGTACTTCGTTAAGATCTTCACCGGGGACAGCGACTGCGACCGCTCGCACCGCCGCAGCACCATCAATCTGGGCATCCGCAAGGTGCAGTACGCACCCACCAAGGAGGGCATCCAGCCCTGCACCGTCGTCCGCAAGGACTTCCTCCTGTCGCCCGGCGAACTCGAACTGGAGGTCACCCTGGACAAGCAGCTGTACCACCACGGCGAGAAGATCTCGGTGAACATCTGCGTGCGCAACAACTCCAACAAGGTGGTTAAGAAGGTCAAGGCCATGGTCCAGCAGGGCGTCGATGTGGTGCTCTTCCAGAACGGCCAGTTCCGCAACACGATCGCCTTCATGGAGACGAGCGAGGGGTGCCCCCTGAACCCGGGCTCCAGTCTGCAGAAGGTCATGTACCTGGTGCCCACTCTGGTGGCCAATTGCGACCGCGCGGGCATCGCCGTCGAGGGGGACATCAAGCGCAAGGAAACGGCTCTGGCCTCAACCACACTGTGAGTATAATAACCTTCTTAGTACTTGAAAAAGGTCCACTTTTATTCAATATAAACAAGTTCACTAATTACATTGCGAATTTTAGTTATTTAAAATATAAAAACAGTAATATTTAAAAAAAAAAACATTACCATTTTACTTAAATTAAGTGCATGACACAATACTTAGCAATATACATTTTAATACCTTAAAATATTGGTTAGATTATGCATCTAATTTGTAAAAATTATTAACATCAATATTTTAAAATGTTTGTTAAACGCTTAAATAATTTATAAAAATTTAAAAAACGGTTCTGCTATTTCCTTTTATAATTTTCATACATTTCTTTTCTAACATAGAATTTGGTAAGACATACTTATCATTTATTAATTTTAACCAAAAAATAAATACAAATCTTACATAAAATTTAATATTATATTTTAGCATTGCTAGTCAGGATGCCAGGGATGCTTTTGGCATCATCGTCTCCTATGCTGTGAAGGTCAAGCTCTTCTTGGGCGCTTTGGGCGGCGAGCTCTGCGCTGAGCTGCCTTTCATCCTGATGCATCCGAAGGTAACATAAAGCCTTGAAACTCATTGTTTTTAATAACTAAAATCAAATCTCTGCTGCAGCCAAGCCGCAAGGCCCAACTTGAAGCCGAGGGCTCTATCGAGGCCTAAACTGAAATGGCTACCTCATCTGAAGACAAAAAATGGCGTATTTCTACATGTCTAACCGATGTTTGTGGATCGTAAAAAATGCTGATGTTGCTGAAATGTTCTGAACTGCAGTCGTCGTACTCTTCCTATATAGCAAATCCAATAAATATTCATATATGTGTGTATGTGTATTATATTTATAACTTAACAAACAATTAAATATGAAAAGAGTTTATGTACATGCGGTGATTTAATGGTAAGGATATGGTATTAGTATAAGTCTACAATTTTACTACAATTTCATCAAGGAATGAGCTAAATTATATGTATTCCCTTAAATAGAATGCACACATTCCGAACATTTAATTATGTACTTTGCAATGGCATTTCATCCGAACTTACTATCTTGCAACGTCTGCTGATTATGTATTTATTGAAGTGCAATGGGGAACTCAACAGAAGCCTACACATTCTATTGAAATACTGATAGTTCGTCTTGCATTTGCGGCTAAGTAATTCCAATTATTGCTAGTCTAAAAAGCCGAGAAGCAACCTAATTAATTATTGTCTAAAGTTGCAAGAGGAAGTTTACAGAACTGCATCTTAGTTAAGGAATATTTTGATATAACATAACCAAATTTAATAATCATTTTAAAAGTGTTTTGAAGCTAGGCTCTCGAATTTGTAATTTTACTTCCTTTCGGGCGTGTTTCACAACAGCAACAATTCATTTTGGATATGTTTATATTTAAATGATTTGTGGCACTTTCAATTGGCCACAAAGATTTACGGTAACACATCTGGCTGTTATTAATTTGCCGGCAGTCACGGCACATTTTGTGGTGAAAATAGAGTTTGAAGAGTAGCTAACCACGATGGGGCGACAAACCAACATTTTCGGCAAACCAGGTGGATGCATAATAGTATTAATCGAATTTCAAAACGTTAGATTAGATTATCATCTTATATAGAGTCTGACAATAAAATTGCATTCCAAACACACACATAAGCTTCGTAACCGATAAGAGAGAGACTCAAGACAGAAATAGTTGACCGCATTTACAGATTAATCAAGTAGTTTTGAGTGCTTCTAAGAGATGAATCAGAAAGCACTCTACAAAACCATAGAGAGATGACTTTGATAGTGAATTTAAAATACGTGAATTTGTAGTTAATAAACTAGCCTTAAAAGATTTAAAACATTTAAAAGTAAATAAGAAGCTTTTTAATTTAATCAAATATTAGATCTCAGGTCTAAGGTATTTTTAAACGTAACGAAATGATGGTAATTACTACTCTTAGTACTTTATACCTACCATTTGATATTAGTTGCCAAGTGTTTTGGTAGTCAATGCTGTGTTAAGTAGTCTGGCTGATAAGGCAACACCCACAAGAAGTTCGGTGCAGTGGTCTGCATTAAACAAGGTTATCGTTGCCCCATACATACACTTTAATCCCAATTCGTAATCAGTTAAGCAAGCAAAACCACCAAGCGGATTATTATAGAAGACATGCTGATTAGCCGCCGCTTTATTTACTAGTGGATAATCTATTAAGTGGTGCATGAATAAAAGCACTAGTGCGATTTTTCCGCTGGCAGTCGCCTGGAAGGCTTTGTTCAGCCCGAACATGTGTTGCAGCTGCTGTGGAGTGGCCCAACAAAAGGTCTGGGTCTTCGGACTCGGAACCCTTTTCGCGGTCTCCGGACTCTTGGCCATAATCTGCTGGCCCGGCTTCATAGACACACAGATTATGAAGGTGAGGGGAAGAGAGGGTGAAATAAAATAAATGAGGAATACTAAACCATTTATTCGGCTTAAAGGCCCTGCCGCTGACACCGACTTCGAAGACCTTTGAGAAATGGGAGGAGCTGCCCATTCCCGTGTATGTCTACATGTATCTTTGGAACTGGACAAATGCCGCCGATGTGCAGGCATTTGGGGTGAAGCCCAGTTTCGAACAACTGGGGCCCTATGTTTATCGCGAGGACAGGAAGAAAGTGGATCTGGAGTGGCATGCTAATGGAACGGTGACCTTTAACCCCAGGAGAACTTGGTTCTGGGAGGAAGAGCTCTCCGGTGGCAAGCAAACCGATTTAATTACTGCCCCGCATTTACCGTCGCTGGTGGGTGTGAAACTAGTTTCTCTCTGGAAATTATAGTAATTCGCAATATTTGATTAATTTTAACAGGCTGCTGCCAACCAAATGCGAAATAGCAACGCCTTTCTGAAGTTCATGTTCAACCGGGTTCTGAATTCGAACGGAGGACATCTGTTTGTGACCTACACGGCTGATGAGTGGCTCTTCAAAAGTTTCTACGATGAGTTCCTGCACTACGCCATGACTTCGAACATGGTCCCGGAAGTCGAGTCGGATGAATTTGCCTGGTTCCTCAATCGGAATGGATCCAAGGACTTCGAAGGATCCTTCACCGTCCACACGGGAGTGGGTGACATCAAGGAAATGGGCGAAATAAAGTTCTGGAAGGGCCAGAATCACACGGGCTGGTACGAGGGTGAATGTGGACGACTGAATGGCAGCACCACAGATCTCTTTGTGCCCGACGAGCCCAAGGAGAAGGCCCTGACGATCTTCATCCCGGACACTTGTCGCATTATAAATCTGGAGTTTACGGGAGAAACCGAAACGATCCAGGGCATCACGGGCTGGAAGTACGAAATAACACCGAACACCTTCGACAATGGTCAGATCAATGGGAATGCAAAGTGTTGGTGTCCTGTGGATAGGCAACCTGATAATTGTCCTGCCACAGGAGCCACTGATCTTTCACCTTGTGCCGAGGGTCTTCCCATGTACCTGTCCGCCGATCATTTCATGTACGCCGATGAGAGCTATACCAGCACAATCAACGGCTACAAGCCTGACTATGATCGGAACAATTTCTATATCATTATGGAGCGCAAGTTGGGGGTGCCCCTGAAGGTCAATGCCAATGTCATGGTCACCTTGTTGATAGAGGCCGATGACGTTATCGAGTGAGCAACTGTGTTTATTATTTTTTAAATAATTTATTAATTACATAATTTGAAAACATTTTCCAACAGCATACTGAAGGACCTTCCCAGCTTCTATGCACCTCTCTTCACCACCGCCAGTCGAGCAGAAATCGACGAAGCACTGGCCTCTGAACTTAAAGTGAGTTTCTTACCAGCATTTAATAAAATATTTTTACTCATTTTCACTATTTTAGTTGGCGCTTAATCTGCCAGCTATTGGCAGATATACTGGAGTGGGATTGTTGGTTCTCGGTTGCATTCTTATAGTCGTTGGCGTCTTACTAACTATTAAGAGGAAATGGCATGGCCAAGCTGAATCGGATAGATTGGCTCTGAAGGATAACGAGGAGACCCCTAATGAAGCGGAAATAAAGGTCAATGCAGTCGACCGGAACTTGTAAAAAATCATTAGGCATAACCGAAATACTTTTATAACAAGCACATGAATGTGATATTCAAAAAACGTGGTGTGATAAATAAGTATATACATATTGTTGTTTAAGAGAAATATAGGTCTAAAAATAAAAATTTATAAAAAAATACCGTTTATTTACTTATTTTATTGTTTTAGTTAAATTTTTGAATACATTTGGTTAACAGAAAAGTTTGGCGAAATGTTTGTTTAAATGTGAATTAAAACAAATTTAAAATCGATTTTTGTATCTTTATGGTTCACCAAAAGTTTTTAAATTTTTCCTTAACACAAACACGGCATTTAAAGCTTAAAACATAAAACGTATTAAATATTGAATAAAATTTTTTTTTTTTTAACTTTATAAAAAATATATCTTAGAAAACATTATTAAGTCCAGAGCTTATCAAAAACCAAAAAATACATTTTAGACAAATAAAACTCTAAAAAGGTCAATTCAATACAAGATAGAATTTTATTTCGACAGTGTATTTATACAGTTTATTGGCCAATAATCAGGCAACTTCGAGTTTTGAGTGAGTTTGTTGTTATCTTTAAGTCCAGAAAATGTTTAACTCAACTCATAAAATGAACCACTTGACTATTTTTGTTAGGATGTGTGCCATTAAAAGCTTTCGGCGATTAACTAATCAGGATGAAACACTTCTGATTTCAAAACAATTTTAAAAATAGAAGAATAAGCCGTTTTTTTTGGGGGAGAACGTTATGGAAATCTAATCTTGCACTCTCATCGTTCAACATCAACAAATGCCATAGGAGGGTTCGCCTATAAATAAAACTGGTTTAAGTGGCTGGCATACCAGTTGCAATCAACCGTTGGCGATGTGTTGTATTTGCTGCAGTGTTCGCCAGCAGAAGATCTGGGTCTTTACCGTGGGAGGCCTGATCCTAGCCTTGGGCGTTTTTCTGGTTTCTGCCTGGCCGGCTGTATCCCGCCATTGGATTCGCAGTCTTCTGCCCTTGGCACCCAACTCCTTCATCTACAGACGCTGGGTAACCACGCCAATGCCACTGTACAGCACAATTTACCTCTTCAACTGGACTAATCCGGAGGATTTGAACACCGAGGGCGTTAAGCCCAACTTTGAACAGCTGGGACCGTACACGTTCAGTGACTTCAAGGTCAAGGAAGATCTGGAGTGGAACCAGCCCGAGGTGACTTATTTTGGCAAACGCACCTGGCACTTTCTTCCCGAAAAATCAAATGGCTCTCTGGATGATGTGGTTGTGGCCCCACACTTTCCCTCTTTGGTGAGTCTGACTATAAAATGTAAAGTGTGATTTCAAGAAATTCTATTATTATTTTGCAATATATATACTAACTTATTTTCTGAGCTTTAAAGAAAATCAAATAAATATATCTTGGTAATAATTTAAATGCTATATTTATTTTCCTAAAATGGTTTAGTTTTCAGGTTAGAACTTTAAATGATTTCTGCTTATTTTCAAATATAAATAAAATCAAATCAAACTACATAATAATTAATCTAGAATTTGTAACACGAAAATTAATTTATTTGTCTTTGAAAACGCAGTTATTTAAGAGTAACATAGTCGCTTTAATTGAACGCAGCCCCGTGGTCCTGCGACTTCAAATGGAGCGTACCGAATTTAGGTGCGACTATCTACTATCTGTCGCCACATCGAGTAATCCCAGCTAATCTCACTATCCGCTTTAGACAGCTGCCTTCTACGCGCGCCCCATGCGCCGCGTCCTGCGCAAGGTCATGAACTTTGCCCTCAATCGCGAGGGTGGCGCCACCCACATGACCCACACAGCTGGTCAGTGGCTCTTCGACGGCTACTACGACCATCTGCTGGACTTTGTGGAGCAGCTGCATTCGCCCTTGCTGCCGGTTTACAGCAACACCTTTGGCTGGTTCTACGAGCGGAATAATTCGAAGACGGCCGAGGGAAACTTAACGGTGCACACTGGTCGTGGAGACCTGAGCCAGTTGGGAGATCTACTCCTGTGGAATGGCCTAAACACAACCGGTTATTATCCCGGTGAATGTGGCAAGGTCAATGGCAGCACGGGCGAACTCTGGTCGCCGGACAGAAAGTGGAGCCAACCCACCTCCATTTTCCTATCCGATGCAGCGCGTTACTTGAACCTTTTCCCCCGGCAAAACCTCACCATCGATGGCATAGATGTCTGGCGCTATGAGTCCACCAATCTCACCCTCGACAATGGCCAGTTGTCGCCGGACACTAAGTGCTTTTGCCTCGAGAATCGCGAGTGTCCCCGCAACGGAGTCCTGGATTACGGGCCACCGGCCTTCGACGGTCCGTTCTACATGTCGCATCCGCACTTTTACCTTACGGACGACCTGTACAGGGAGAACACCACGGGACTAAGGCCCGAGCAGTTCGAACACGGCATGTTTGTGATAATGGAGCCCACACTGGGCATTCCTTTGAACGTGAGAGGACAGCTCATGATTAGCACGAGAGTGGTGCGGGATGAGGCCATTGAGTGAGTAGAAACTAGGCTATAAAAGTTAAAAAATTAAGCAATGTAAAGTCATAATATATATTATATACCCTATCCAATTTGGATACATTTTAACAACTTAAAGTAAAATATCAGTCATTGTTTATGTTTATTCTAAAATAATTGTTTTGCACAGTAATTTTTAGAATCCCACAAATTACAAATTCCTTATAGATTTTTTGATATCACAGTTTAAAGTGATGAATAGAAAAGAAAGTTGTTGGACTATACTTTTATTTTCTTATACAGCTTGTTCAAGGATGTAGCCTATGATCACTATGCGCCCCTTTTTACCATGAGAATGCATGCAGAATTAGATGATAGCCTCAAAAGTTTACTAAAGGTAAGGTAACAGCAACAAATTCAAAACATTATAATAATCGAAACTATTATCTTTGTACGACAGCTTGGCTTAAATGCTGCTATTATTGGTATATACGCTGGAATCGGATTACTTCTTTTAGGACTAACATTGGTCACAGTAGGCTTGTTTGTCACAAAGAACCACAAGTGGTTCAACGAAAAAAATTCCGAGGGCTATCGTAAAGAAGAAATGGAACACAAACAAGAAAAACGCACTTGAAACCGATAAGACTGTTAACGCCAACAAAGCAATAATCTCGTTAATCACAGGGCAAATTTCGTCATTGTTTAAGGCCATAATCAGTCCGAGAACTTTAAGGCCGGGCCATAAAAAATGCAAATTACGTGCCCGGCTGGATTATCCAATTTCGTTCAGGTGTTGCCCAGCTGCAGGCATCTAGAATTACACTAAATTATGGCCTTTCAAATATGCTAAAATTTATTAATATGTTAATAATTGTTTTTTACTGTTCGTTCAGGCCATGCAAAGAAGTAGGGGAAATATCCTTAGGCACGTAAGTTGCATACTTTATGGCGTACGAACTCTTTCACCAGCCAGAGCCGGCAAATACTGAACTGGAAATTTGAAAAATGCCAAAAGAATATTATAAGCGGCTAATTTATATGCACCAAGCACGCAAACTTACGTTTTGCACACACATTGTTTGTGGCCCACGAAGGGCGAAGGAACAAGTTAAACAATGTATGAAAATATGAAAATTATATGACTGCCAGTATGTGTCGGCCATAACTTTAACAAAATCTGTGTGAGGGTGAGCATTCTGGAGTAATAAAATACATTGTTAAGTAATGACTAGAAATATAAACAAATATGGAATGTAGTAAAAAGCACTAAAGTAAATAAAAATAATGCAAACAAAGTACAGCACACATTTATCATTTAATCTTGGATTCAGCTTTTTAGCATTCCCAATGTAAATGTAATTTACTGTAAAACACCTTTAAAAACAGTCACAAACCTGATTACTGTTTACATTTTATAAACACCTTGCAAAAACTATTAAATTGACATATTTTTAATCATTTGCTAAAAGTCAACGTACAAGACATACTTGCTTTTGATAAAAAATCATGTTAGCACAACATACTTCATTTTTTCAATCGTAAAACATGCTGAATTTCATGGCTGCTTTAATTGACAAATTTAATCTTGACAAATTGCCAAAGGCTGGTCAAATAAAATGATTCCAACATATTTATTAAAATTAATTTTACAGAAAGCTCAGTTTATCATTTCCGTGTTCAGTTTTCTTTCTTTAGTTTTTCTTCATCATTTGATTTACGGCCAAGCTTCCCAAATGTATTATTTATTTACGAATATTTAAAAGACTTTCCCAATAAAGCTTCATTTATTTCTATCTGACACATTTTCTTTTGACACTGAATGGCAGATAAGAGTTATTTTCTCAGAGTAATGTTTCAACTCAGTTTATAATTCTTTGGCTGGCCAGTGACTTTTCAAGGGTTGGCTATAAGCTATTCCATTTTTGGGTTTCTTTTCTTAGTCAAGTAACCACAGCAATGTGCAATTGTGCGTAGAATTTTTAATGAAATATTTAAACAACACCCCCAAAACGACAGAAGGCCAGAAAAAAACAAGACGAGGCAGTCTGAAAACAGGAACGTCTAATTTTGGAAAACTGGTTGTCAAGGTACGCAGACTGGCTGACATTTTTATACTTTTTTAATGCTCTTAATACCCAACAAATGTTTTATTCGGGAATTTTGTTTTTGTAAGTTAAGATAATAATTAAACTGCGACTTTTAAAGCTTTTAAAGACATTAGACCGCAAATCAGAAATTTACAATACAAGTCATACATCTTTTTCCGTAAAGTTTCTTTAAATTATTAAACTTTTACTTTTCAATAAAGGAAGAAAATAAACTTATAAATTGGTGAAAGCGAACTAAAACTCAAGAAAACTTTTAAGGCTGATATATATAAAAGCAAGTTAAATATACAATTTGTTTAAAGACTGGGGTAGTAACAAATAGAATCCTTACACTCACCTGAGCTTGCTATAAAATTTTTAATGCTTCTGCGGTTTTTACTCATAGCATAACGAGCAACAGATCGCGTCGGTGACCGACTTCATTATTTTGGCTAAGTCCGAAGAGCCAAGAAAAAAGAGCTTGAAATGGGTGAGGTTGGGGTTTGGGTATGTCCATTGTGATGCCATTGTGGCCTGCTGTCCGTTTATGTCGCGAAAACTTCGGTGTCCTAATCTGCTGCCCGACTTGCATACTAATTTGTTTGCTCCTCCCTAGCAGCCCACTTTTTCGACCTTCAGCCCGTTTGCCTTGCCTTTATGGTCTTTTGGGCTGCTGACAACCCGTAGATTATGTTGTTGGCTTTGGCTTTGGCTTGGGCCTTTGTGTGTTAGCCAAGTGCGAGTGTTTGTGGGTGTGGGTCGGCCAATGGACCAGTGTCACGTTGCCTTGGCTTACAGATTTTCCGGAGGTTCCCATGGCCCGACTTGTTTGTTTATTTCTGCCGGCCGTCCATAAAACCCTGTTTAGCTGCTTAATTTTTTCCTTTGTCATGTTGACAGTCTCTTTTGGCTCAAGGACTTGTTCGGTGGGGTTCATTTTTCGCACAATTTAATGTTATTTAATTGGCATTTAAGTTTGTGAAAACGCTTGTGCTTACAGCCGCGATAGGGCCGACATAAAATAAATACTAATGTCAGTTTTATTATTGTCTAAGAAAACAGCAGCCAACTCCATCAAATATTCACAGCTTATTGTTCCAAAAATAACTTCATAAAATATTTCAAAAAATTTTAAAAAGCTTGACGAACCAGAAAGTAGTTTATTAAATCATTTATGTTAAATTCAGCTGGCAAGCCAACGCAGTATTTATTTAATCGGCTTACAATTAATAACTTGTGACATTTTAACTACAATGTTGAAACCGCATCTGGCATTTTTCGGGAATTTATGCTACAATTTTCTATGCCATGTGCAATGGAACTGTCTCTCTTTTTATGTTTTGTTAACAGTGCAAATTGCATTGGGCCGTTGGCGTTGGGTCAGATGTTACAAAGTTGACAGAATCAGAGGGGAAATCTGCAGCGAAAAAATGCTTAAATAAACATAGAGCATTTCGTGCTAACACCAAAACAACAGAGGAAATATTCGCTGAATACGAGTTGGGAAAAAAATTTAAAAATTCAATTTAAAAACATTCCGATTTTGTTCTCGTTCCCCCTTCCTTAAAATTGGTTATGGTTAGAATGGCAGCTAAACAATTAATGTTCATAGTTCTCAGTTGGCCAACATTTTTTGGAAAAATATCAGTCCTGAATATAGAAACCAGTTGCAATAGATTACGAATTATTGTAAGCCGGTGAATTTAAATGGTTTAATTAAAAAAAGCAGCATATGGTTGAAAATGGGTGTTCTTAGTTTGAAGCCAACAATATGGTTATATTTATTTTGAAACCAAAAACAAACAGCTTGTAATTAAATAGGGGTGTACTTAGTTTGAAGCCAACGAGTAATTGAATACCGCAGTTATTCACTGGCTTCTCGAAGTTCTGCAATTAAAACGGCGCCTGGCCAACAAAAATCAAGGCTTTTAGTAGCTGCCAAAGTTTTAGCACGCATACGCAGTGTGTGCCGAGCGTTCTAATTGCCTGCATTTATGAAGTGACCATTAAGCCCGAATGCAATATGTAATGCAAGCTCCGTTTCCCCAGCTGGCCTTGTACTTTGGGTTATGACCAGAAGGCCCTAAGTTCTTTGGGGCTGGCAGAAAGCCAAGGACGAAAAGATGGTCCAGAGAAAGTCGAAGATGCTGCAGCATCTTCTGCTCGTCGGGCAAAAACAATTTGCCCCCGGATAGAAACGTTAAGCGAGCAAAAGTGCTGGCCAGAAAAAAAAGACTACATAAATTCGAGAGGGAAAGTAGTCAATGTTGGACCAAACGAGCAGGCTCGCATTGTTTGGCATCGTGTCGGAGCATATGACTATGCATATTTGAAAGGCAATTTCCCCAGTGTTCGGGTCATCGATGCAAATGCAATTTGATTCTGTTTACCAGACACTTAACAACGTCCCCCTTTAATGCTGAATTTATCCCTTTGCATATCCGTTTGGCCTTAGGCCTTATTCGCTCAACATTTGAGCAGCAGCAGCAGCAGCAGCAGCTTGCATATGTTTTCCATCAACTGAATCGCAAAAATTCGCACTTCCGTGTTCGCTTCCGCCGAATTTATCGATCATCCACCTGCGTTACATGCTTTTAACACTTTTCGCCCTTAAACCGCAGAAATTTTGTTAAATTTTCATTAAAAATACATGGGCTGGCAATTGCGGCAGCTGTGTCCGCATCAAAATGTCACTGCATTCCGCCCTCATCCCCCCAGAAAAGCTCTTACATCCGCTCCTGCAGTCATGTGTGAAAAGTATGAGAGGGTGGCGAAGGGCCGCTCCTCCAACGGAATATCCAAACAAGTTACACCAGTCCGCAATTATATGTGTAAATATCAACGTGGCCCTGGCTGTGGCATTTATTTTATTTAAGAGCTACCAGCAAAAGTATCTTAAAATTTGAACAAAAACTTAAAGTTCTCCGATACAATATGCAGCTGTGATAAATAATTAACAATATAAATAAAGATTTTCCATATAACTTGAACTTCAACTTCACACCTCCTTAAGCTTAACAATACCGTTATCATAGGAACCAAATTATTTATCTATCCATGCATGCAATAAAATTGCATTGCTATTTACCTCTTATTTATGTTTCAATTGTTTCGAAATAAACTGTTAAGTGATATGAGAATATTTATTCAACAACAACTCTAGAAATACGTGAAATGCCTTTCCAATTAAATTTCCCAATTGAGTGCCTGCACAAACCCATGCAATGTGAGGCAATCAAAACCTGATATTATTATTTTCTCTTCTGGAGCTTAAAAAGCCAGGGCAATAAATTTTTCGGCATATATCCCAATAATCAGCTATGAAATTCTATCCGCATTCCATTGAACCCGTTTTCCCGACGTATATTGCCATAATTGTCAACCACATGCCAGTTATGCCACTGGGCCTTCCATAATTTATTTACGTATAGATACATGTGACTTAATGCCGGAGCCGGGCATTTAATTATGTCAAATCCGTGACCATGGAATGTCCTGGTTCACAGTGCGAGTATCACTGCTGCATTTAATAATGTCAATTCCAGTTGACTTGTGTGCGTTGATTTAGTTAAGACAGTGGCTTTATTTATGCCAATTTACTAATTTACAGTGCTGCGGTCACTTGGGCATCCTGTGCCCGACGGACCGTGTATGTCAGCTGGAAACCCGTTTCGGAGTCACTCGACTGCGAATCACTGGCGAATCGCAGCACAAACGGTGGACGGGCCACCAGTTCCTGACCAGTCAGTCCATTGCCACAGTAGTAAGTGGCCTGAAGCTCCGGCCGGCCGACCATGCGAGCGTCGGGAATCACCAGGTAGTCGGATACGCGCAACGGGGTCAACACAGTACTGCGGCACTCGGTGTCGTAGGCAGGTCCTGGCTGCTCTGAATTCGCCGTCGAGAGCTCAAAGTGATCAATTTTGTAGCTGTACAAAATGTACCAGATACATTATTAGTATGAATTAAAAACTGTATGTATAACTATTTAATTTAAAAAAAGCTTAAGCACTATTTGTATTTTGTATTTTATTACTAAATATATTTCACCGAAACCGTAACAACCGCACAGTGTAAGACTACTATGACTTCATAAAAAGTTCCCATAATTAATATTGTATACCACCGGTTGCTGGGCTGACTCACTCACCTTATCTCGCTGTCTGCCGCTCCCTTGACACAGATCGAGTACTTCATGTTCGGCATGTAGATGCCACCGGCGAAGTTGAAGCTCACGATGCCGCCGGTCGTGGTCCTGTAGTACTGATCACAGCCCAGAGGAGCCAGCAGCTCCAGATCGGCCAACGATGGCGAGGTGAGGGATTGGATGAGCTGGGCGGCAGGTCCAGAGCCCGAACCGATACCAGATTGTCCGCCGAAAATGGTGCGTGGCAGGAGATTGCCGAAAAAGGGCAGGATAGGTCGCACAGTGGGTGGTGATTGTGGCGGCAACTCGGGCTGGCTTACGCTCAAAGAAGCCGAATCCCTGGGGCACTCCAGCTGGGTGAGGGTCATCTGCCAGGTGGACTGCCGGCCCAGCGATGTGGCCAGTCGGAACAGAAGCTGCAGCTCTTGACCCCGACTAATGGGTAAGTACAAGTGCTGACCACTGTTGCGACCGCACAGCCGGAAATGCTGAATCTGCAGATAGTCGACGCACTCCAGCAGTCCGGAATTGGCATTCAGCTGTGGCTGCGGCAGCTCCAATCGCTCGAAATCGACTCGCACCTGGCACACCTGGGCGCTCCACGGCGCCACCCGGATCTGGCAAGTGTCCAACTTGGCCAGCTCACCGGCTGCCGGACTGCGAACCACCAGGCGTTTCTGGCGGACAGCCCCACTCGGCGCATTGCAGGCCACTTGACAGCGCACAGGTGCAAATATGGCTAAGAGCACGAGGGCCAGCTGCAGCAGCAGCAGCAGTGGCAAATCCATTTTGGCCCAATTCGATGGTGGCTTCGCGATTTGATTGGGAAATTTTCGCTGTTCAGCGCTTTTATATCAGTTTCTGAGAGCATTTGTATCTCTCGGCAGATAACTGCCATTGACATTCGACGATAACGACCAAAAAGCTGTTAGCTAGCGATAATGTTTTTGGACTGCGATGCGTCCCTGGAAATATAACATGATAGTTGTGAAATTTTCGGGTAGGGAAAAATGAGTAGACTCCGCTGAGTCACTTTAAATTCATAATAATTCTTGCATTTTTCGTGCTTCATTACTAACCGCAGAGAGGTTTACACTCGCCCCTAAAATGTATTAAATAAGTTTAAGCTTTTAAGAAACTTAATCATTATTTTTAAAATAAAGCTAAAGTTTTTAGCCAATTTATAAAAGTATTTAAAAACTTATGAAATAGATAAATAAGTACATATAAGTTGTCATATCACAAGCTTCCGGTACATCGCAAAATACACACCGAATTCTTAAAATTAGTTGAAAATTAGTTTGTTCTAGATTAAGTGCCAGACCATCTCCTTTAATTTTTCTCCTACTTTAACCGCCATCAATGGACAGCAAAGTCAACCGCAACTTGTTTAGCTCGAGTGGAATTTACCCCCACTATCTGTGTAATCATTATCGAATAAATAATGCGCCAGCAAGACATGCCAGGTATGCATGCAATCTTCCAGTTTCGCCCCCAACTTCCGCCAGCGGTTAACATTTGTTCTCTGTGACTTTAAGCCTTCTTCTCAAATAGGAATTCATTGCCCAAACGTTTTATCAATAAATGCCACAAGGAAGTTTTACGCACATTTTATGACAAAGATACTCACACACACGGCGATGGAAAGGCGTTTATGGCCGCCTTACACCATTTATGGGGTCTCACACCCCTTGGCACACACTCACACACACACTCGCAGCAAAAGGACCTTAGCGCACGTAAAACAATAAAATTCGAGGCATTTATATGAGCATACCTTTGATTGTGTTTGAAAAGGTGCGTGGGTGGGAGCATAAGCATGTGTGTGCTCGTGTCTCCATCCCCTCCACCAATTTACATAATATTTTGTGGCATAGGTTACCATTTTTTATCCCCGCCTTGTAATTAAAATTAAATGCCCCTCGACCGCGTCTATTAAATTTAATGTTAAACGCACAACATGTGACAAAAAATGCTGCGGAGGTGGCGTTAAAATTAAACAAACGACCAAATAATACTAAAATTGCATGCTCAGCGCGATTAACATATCAACAGCGACAAAAAACAACATAAACCAGCGGGGAAATGTTTCACAGCGAATTTCCAGCTTTGCATTTTCAGGCCTGCAAGTGCGGCAAGAACATCAACAATGCACACCATGGCACACATTTGCGTTCAAGTTTTAAAAATTTATGGCCCAAGTACAAGCCCAGTTAAAAAACAAAGCCAGTCGGCAAGCAACCTTCGAAAAAATAAGTAAAAATATATGGAAAGGACTGCAAAAAAGCTCGTGCAGCCGTCGCATAAAAATGAGAACTATGTACTAATAAGCAAAAACAAGGTGGAAAAAATGAACAAACTAACGTCGTTAGCAGAAAGGAAAATGGGAAATGTTAAACTCGAAAAATCATTGCATTTATTTTAGAAACGAGGAATGCTCTTAAAATATTTATGAGCAATTGCTCCTTCGCTAAGTTTAATTATAGCAACTGTTTATTATAAATAGAGATCACATGTAGAATTCGTAGGTCCGTCAATAACATAAAATAGGTATTTTATTAAAAAAAAAAAAAGAAAGAATAGTCATATTGTATTTTTTTTCAATTTGTAATATTGTAATATTTGTATTTTTTTTACCTGAAAGTAAATATTAATTCGAATAATTTTTTGATAAAGTTCCCAAGAATACGCAGTAAATTTCCATCATTACTCAACACAAAAGCACTTAAATAAGTTTTCCAACCAAACCCGAGGACACCAGAAAAACTTCGCTCCAATCCAGCACACCCACTCAGCCATATATTCCCGGCAGACTTCATCAGCAATTTGTAATACCTACTTTCCAAGGGCATTTCGCAAGCCAAAAAAAAAATAAAAAGAAAGCAGGAAAAAACACAAACTTTTGTAGTAACCGCAGCCACAGCAGCGCTCACGTATTTATGTCAATGTTTTGTTTTAGTTGTTGGCGGCAGTCTTGGCCACCTCCACCTCCACCTCCGACCAAGCCCCTGCCACGCCCCTGGTTGCATGTCGTGCCCATTTGCGTTACCTTTGAACCCCGCCACAAAAACAAGAAGTGACGCCCGTTCAGTTTCGGTTCGGGTTGAGGCTCTTCGCCTAGCTCCCTGTTTTCCATGCTCTGTTCTCGACTCGAGTCAGCTTTATGTGATCAACAACTTGTTTTGTTCTCGTTCAAGATGTATGCGAAAATTGCAGGAGTGGGCTCGAAACCAACAAGAACGACATCAAAATACAAGAGCTGAACGTCAAAGCCATAAAAACACTTTGAAAATAGTAAAACTATTTAAAACCAAGAGATATTTATCATAGCTTTTTTGTATTTAAAATGAATTTAAATTATTTTTTCCAGTGCTGCCGATTTTTGTATGTTTTCAGGGGTAGAGAAAACTGTGGTCTTTTATAGTTTTATTGTTGTTGACTTTTTATTTTATTAAGGGGGTCATACAAAAAGTTCGACAATGTCCTTGCAACTTCAAATTACATTTGCAATTTTTGTGCCACAGCTTGAACGAAGTTTGGTAGAAAATTCTGCAGCTGGGCGGCGAAAAAATGTGTCGCTTAAAAAGCCAATTAAGTGGTATTCGATTGGTTTGCATAAGGCGCAGATTGCACGGCAACTCGTCATTCCCGCAAGGGCGGGCCACGCCCCAATCATAAATATAAACAACGCCACGGCGACGACTTTGCCATCTAAAATGGAAATCTGCCGGTAGCAAGAACATGCATATTTTCCGGCTCGTGTTGATTTTTCTTGCCAGCCCTTTCCTTCGTGTTTGCTTATCAAGTGCAAATGCATGCGACTTGCAACAGCAATAGCAATTGCAACACAGCAGCAGCAGCAGCAGCAACAGCAATAATAATATCAACAAACAGCGCAGATAGGCAGCGAAACAGCGACGTGTTGCTCCCTGCTGCCGTCAAGAAAAACGAGTTGTTTCCGGCACTCAAACACTTCTGATTGCAGTGCCAAAAGAAAAAAGCCAAAATAAAAATATATGCAGGAATATGCAGCACTTTTGTTGCCTTCACTATAAATTTAAATGCAATCGCATTAAGAGAGCAACAAAGAAACGAAAGGATACGTTCTGGGAAGGGATTTCGGTTCTGGGTAATTTATGTTGCATACTTTACGGGCTGCGCTGGCATATGAACTTGAACTTGCCTCGAATAAACATTTGTGTTCGATTTAAGCTCAGTTAGATTTATTGAATTGATAAATTAGCATTTTAAAATGTTTTGTAGTATTACTATTATTACTAAACGAATGATCAATTCAGTAATTGTTGTCTATTACAAAAATATATTTTATTATTTGCTCAGTTTATTTATTTATTGTCTTTCCCACTTAATTGAAAATCAGCATTTGAGAACACTTTCTTCTATTTTCGTTTGACTGGATGATGTCTGTCAACGAGCCGGAAAACAAAATGCAAACTGCATGTAAACAAGGAAGACAAAAACAAAGCTAGTTGATGATTTAAATTTCTTTTCGTTTGTATTTAATTTAATGCATTCTTGCCATCAACATCATCATTGTAGTAAACTTTTAGTCAGTTGGCGATTGTTATTACTTTTCAAACTTTTCCCTTTTCATTTCTGTACATTTGGAAGTCCCTTTGTTTGGTGGAATAACTTTAAGCAAATAATAACTCAGACTGCCTTGAGGTGCTGGTTAAGGAATGCTGCCAGAGAGAATGGCACACAAATTAATGCGCAATCAACTAGCGGACTATGCCACCCAAAAACCACTTTAGCCAGCCGCCCATCCGTCAAAGCCTTTTACTGGCTCAACTTTGCTCGGGCTTATTTATGTGCGTCGGCTGCAGGAGCCATGAATTGACTTTGTGACTGGAGTTGGGCGCCTTGCCAACGCAGGTCCTTCCCATTCCTTTGGAGGACATCCACCCGCATAATGTGCATGACAATCTTTGCCCCCCCAGCAATCCCCATACCCATCCCCCGATTACTGCCGGAGACAATGACATTGTTGCCGGCTCCATTTGCCACATGATGCACTTGATGCCAGGCGGCACACAATATGTCTTTTGATGTCCGCAGACTGAAAGCCAACCGCAAGCCGCCAGATTGTGGATGATTTGAAAGCAATACACACTGCAAGCCTCCATTGCTTTAAATGCAGGGAATATTTTAAATTCCACAGGGCTGCCTCGCAAATGGCTGAAAGATGATGGAATGCCTTCGGGAAAGTTAATATGGAGGGCAGTTGCCTGCGATACTCACAAAATGAAGGTCCTTTAAAGTAAAATCACAAAATAAGGCAAACCGTTTAAGTCTTAACATCACATACATTATATACAAACTCTACTCTTTTAATGAACTTCTGTTTTATTTACAGATTTTCGGATTATCCGATTTATGATTCTTGAAAAGATTTTATTGTGAAATTAATTATTAATTCAACAAATACTTATAAGATTTTGATACAAGATATGGAGAAGTCATACAATTTACTGTCATTTTATTTACTTTACATTTGATTTATAGAGCTAAAACCTTCTAACAACTAGCAATGCTAACAACACTTCACAGCCTTACCTAAAATATATATTATACATGAATATTAGCATTTTTGTAATGGAGGGCAAAAATCTCAAAACGGATGGTAAGCTGAGTGAGGAAGGTATTGAAAAGGAAAACGCAACCTGTAAGCCCAGAAAACCTTTGGAAAACAGTATTGAATGTCGCGAAAAGACAATTGTGGAAAATATAAACGCCGATCAGGAAGCTATTGCTAAAATCCAATATCTTAGTTCGGAGCATGACATGCT